TAGGAAAGAAGGGAAAAGAAAAAATATGAGAAAAGGAAAAAAATGGAAACAAAGTCTTTGCAAATAGGGAAGGGTGGAGTGGGTGAAGGGAGGGCAGGGGAAGGGGGGGAAAAAAGAACCAAGAAACTCATGTAATGGTACAAGATTCCAATGATGAATGTAACTGTATTTTATACCGAAAATGTACCAATAAACTTAACGGGGATAAAAACAAAAAAAGAAAATTATCAAAGACTTTATAGTAGGAAATCACATGTTTAAATATCTGTGTTATAACAGTAGTCTGGTAGTAAAGAATAGGCATGTACGTGAATAAGGGAGATGCTAGAATATGAAAAAGGAAATATAATGGAATCATGGATTCCAGAAACACAATAGTTTTATAAACTGCAGAGTAGCGCAGGGACGGAGAATAGTGAGAGAGGCAAAGAGAAGAAAACCATGTCAGAACTAGAATCAGCAGAACCAGTTAATGAAAGAGAGCATAGTCCATGCTGAGACTATTCAAGGGGAGTGTACAGATGAGTGCAGAAAGAAGGTCCCATTAACAGACGAGGACAAATTGCACTAGAATCTGCTCAGAGTCCGAGTGGAACAAGGAGAAAGTAATGATAAGGAAGTATAGAGAAGAACGTCTAATGACAGTCAAGGAGGATGAAGTTCAAACAAATATCTTTATCATTATATTCATCTACATACTCATATTACTCCAAATTAATTGTTTCCAAAAGAGTATAAAAATTGAAATTAAAACCTGACTCTGGATTTTATTTTTAACCTAATATATTATTGTCTTTAAAAGATTGGCTTCCCCCCTCTGCTATATACCTGAATAAAATTTTCTTATTATTGGGTATGTAGTATCCTCTGATTTCCTTTGTGGAGAAGCTGCTGCATGGAGAATCTCGGGCGAGGAACGGGAGTGGGGTGTATTGACCAATGAGGCGCAGCTTCCATTGTGAGGCTGGCACGTACATATCACCACTAAATGCTTCCACCACAAATGTGTATCCTTTCTGTAAGAAAGTATAATTACAAAGACATGAGTCACATTGTCACTAGTCTTCCATATACTGTAGTGAGAAAATGTTTTATAATCTTGATATACATGTAGATTCCAAGATGTCTTAACATCAAACCACTAACATTGTATTTTACTCTTGGAAAGTATCATCTTAAGTGTTTACAGGAAAATTATTAACTCTAACTTCTTTGTGTGGTTCTTTAAGTAAAAAAATAAGGTGCTTGACCATAGTAAATAATTACTACATTTTCTCTAGTTCTTCTGATGCTCCCTAAGATAATTTTAAAATCACTGCATCATTCTGAAACAGCTCACTAGCTTCTTATTTAATATTCTTATCTCAAAGATTAATCTTTCCAAACTACAGAAGGAAAAAAGTCCAGGATTTTAGAAATGAAGCTGAAATAACAGCTGCTCTGATCCGACAGAGCCCAGATGTGCATCTGGAGATGAGCTCCTTAGGTTGGAGAAAAGAAGCAGCTGAAGAATGTAGGAAAGGGACTACTTCATGGTGGGAAATAGCTTCATTAACATAACTGAATATCTGGCCAAAATGTCAATGAATCAGATGGTATCATAAGATGAAAGTTTCAACATAATTCTGCTTTTATAACTGTAGTTGCTCCTAATGAATAAAAAAGGAATAAAAACAAAAGACAGATTTGACTTCCAGTTGATCTGTTACAAGGAACACTCTCTGTTGTGTTTAGATTCCTAGAAAGAAAAATCAGATATTCATAAACCAGAATAAATATATAATACCTCAATTAGATGTCTAGCAATATTAGCCAGAATTCCAAATTCATAATGAGATGAGAATTGTAACCTCAATAAGGAATTCTGACATTATGTTTGGAGCAAGTAAAAGGAAAAATCTTATGTATATCGAGATTATAAAGGGCTGGGGATTTAGCTCAGTGCAAGTGCAAGGCCCCGAGTTTGATCCCTGGTACCGGTACCAAAAAAAAAAAAAAAAAGGAGATTATAAAACATTTTCTTACTACCATATATGGGAGATTAGTGATAATGTGACTCATGTCTTTATAATTGCACTTTCTTACAGAAAGGATACACGTTTGTGGCAGAAGCACTTAATGCCTTAGTATATGCTAAGGCACATACACTTGCAAGGTATAATGCACAGATATATTGTTATTTTTATAATTTGAGCTTATTTTACTAATACATTAAAGAAGTAAAATAAAGCTAAATGACTCTGTTTCTTGTGTTTGGACAGATTCAGAAAATAATTTTAAGCAAAAATTTATAAAATTGTAGGCAAGTGAAAGTCTAGAACTAAACTAATGGTAAAATAGTAATACAAGAGATCCCTTCACGTGGTGGTTTAGAGGCCACAGTTCTCACTAGAGGCTTGGAGGATGCTCACCAAGATCCACAAGGTACTCAGTAAAAGGGGCAAACAAAAACTCAAACATGGGAAGGCAACTCAAAGGAGAAGCCCACCAGATGAATTCCAGAATCGGGGATGTTTAGAGAGGGAAGCAGGACTGCCTCTTGGTCTTGGCACTGCTTACAGCCCAGGTCTGTTGAACATATCATCTTTGGACAGGAACTAACCACCTGTGGGTAGAAACCAAGGGCAGTGGTAGCTGGGAGAAAGAGGGAATGATTAGTGCCCAGCCGAGCAACTACGACTGCCCAGTTCCCACCTGTCCTAGCCTAAAAAGAGTTAACTTGAGCCTAAAAAGTTAACTAGAGTGGAGAGGGTAGAAGAAATAAGGAGGAAATGGGTATGTTTGGTGCAGTTATACATAAGATAATTTTTACAATACAGTAATTTTTGCCAGGGATTTAGCTCAGGGATGCTGCCGCCTGCCTTGAAAGTGTAAGGTCCTGAGTTTGATCCCAAGTACCAAGAAAAACAAAACAAACAAAAAACAACATACTGATCTACAATACAGTAATTTTTAATAAAATGTCATTTATTAGGACATGAGGGAGAATAAATATAGTGCAAAAGGAAATCATGAGATAAATATAAATTAGTAAATATATTTCCAACTTTTAAAGCAAATAATATGTATCCATTCAAAAACAATTAAAATAAATTATGTATATGAATATATGAATAAAATACATGAATAAAAAAGATACAATATAATAAAATGATGTAGATTAGTTGGCCTTAATCTAGTGAACTTTAAAATTTATATTTAAGTGTATAATACCACATATAGATTACTGTACAAAAAATAACCAGGTTATCTCTTAAAATACAAATGTGAAACTTGCCCAATTTAAAACAAAATAAGGCTCGGGTCGCAACTTGTTAATATCTTTAAACAGTAAAATGTGACTGAAATTTCAAGAAAATTTATCTCTTAAAAATAATAGAAAAGGGCTGGGGATTTAGCTCAGTGGTGCCACCATCTGCTTTGCCAGTGCAAGGTCCTGAGTTCCATCTCCGGTACCAAAAATAAAATAAAATAAAATAAAATAATAATAATAGAAAAAAGTTCAGGGTTTAATAGAACATAGTCAAGTTTTTAAAATTATAATTATAATGAAATAAAAGTAAACACAAAAATAGTTTAAAATACGCATACACACGTATGCATATGCATATACAAAATGAAATATAAAATATATAATATAATAACGAAATATAAGTGAAAACTCACTAAAATAGTTTAAAATATGCTGTTATACATACATACATGCATATATGTCAGTTGATATAGATTGTTTTTCTTTTTTTTTTTTTTTTGGTACCGGGGATTGAACTCCAGTTCTTGCGCTTGCGCAGCAGGCAGAGAAACCACTGAGCTAAATCCCTGGCCCCTGATATAAATTGTTTCATTGAGCATTTTACTGTAGCGGTTTTTCAAAGTTTTCTAAGTTCTCTAATGCGGCTCAAAAGGCCTACTAGGTCTTTAACACATTTTAAATTTTTTTTTCCTATAAAACCAGCACTAATTAGTTAGGTATGTCTAACTCATACAAAATAGCAAATAGAATCATAAGCTGAAATGAGCCTCAGAAATCAAGTACAGCCATAACCCAATGAGAAAAATGAAGAGGTTCAAAGCCATGCTATAGCTACAGTATGGAAGGCAGAGATAAAACATGTATTTTGGTTTCTAAGTCAGGTATATACTGCCCTTTATCATCATCCACTATTACAAGAAATGACCAAAAACATGAAGATGAAATTTAAATATATAGGACGGACATTGGTTTGAATGAAGGTCAGAAATCAGGGTCTATCATTCATTCAGCAGGAGTACCATGCTACCATGCTGTGTGCTTCTTGACACAGAAGGGGTTTATGTAGCCTAAGAAAAGATGATGTTGATGGTAGGTGGATGGATATGGAACCTCAATCTTCAGAAATATTTAGAGTGAAATAAATACTCAATGGGAAACAAAGTCAATCTTCTAGTTTGGTTTAGGGATAGGACTAAATGAGCTCTTTAGATCCATTTCCCTTTTAAGGGTTTATATGAGTTTATGACTATAATGATTAGAATTTCTAATGCTTTTTTTTTGTAATGAAATCTTTGGGGCAGAGAAAAAATGAAGGCCCAGAGGTAAAGAGTGCTCTAGGGTGCACACTGTCTCCTGCAGTCACATAAATAGCAGTTGTACTAGGAACACCCCAGGCCCTATTGTTGTTAGATAGACTGGGGCACTTTTTCTCCTGGCCCTCAACAAGCTGCTGGCTTTTCACCACCATTCCATGCTATTCAAAGAATAAACTTTACACATACCTTATTCTTGGTATAAAGATAAGGCACCACTTTTTGGAAGACCTTTGGCACTTGTTCCATTGTGTCATTATTAATAACATGTAGGACACAAATTCGAAGTGTGGTGTACACTTTGGGGACCAAAATCATATCTTGAGGAATGAAAAATGTTTCTCTGTAATTACAAAAGCATGAACTTTCCCTTAACATGAATCTTAAAAGTTTGAAATTAGATTCAATGCCAATAATTCTTGTTAAATTTTCAAATTCCAAATAACTTCAAGGTTCACACATTATTTTCATTTAAAAATTATTACTAAGGTGCCATTTTGACATATGAAAGCAAATGACATTAAGAAATTCCATTTTATAAGTAAATTGTGACTTTTACCTAATATCCTATTACTTAGAAATTAAAGGTTCTTTTACTATACTAAGAACATGTTAATTTCTTATATTACTTTCATCATTTTCATAAAGAATTTATGAAATTCTTCATATTTTAACACAAGGAACAAAAAAGTTTCTATAATATCTCATTCATGCATAGCAAGTAGGGAAGAATTCTATGTAAGTTATGAAAGCAACCTTGAAGCTGATACTTTTACTACTACCATAAATAAAAACTCTACATATATGAATATTGCCTGCCATTTAAAAATGACATCATTTGCCAGTTTATAATAACTCACCTGAATATTATAAATGAAGAATTTGGTGGCTGATCTGGACAGGTCAAAGTATAGTCAGCGAAAGCAAGCTTAGTGTCTTCATCTTGATAGCATGGATAAGATTCAAGAGATTTGCACTTGCTTTTAAACATTACTCTACATATGTAAAAATGAATCATACATCAATGACAAAAGCCACCTTTAAAATAAATTCTATTTATAAAGAAAGAAACAGGCCCTAAGAGCATAAATATGACAGGCTGAATTCTTGATCCAAAGGGAGCCACGTGGTTCATAGTACCTGGTGCCAAGGGAATGGACCCCCTCCCAGATAAGCCATGAAAGAAAATTCTCAAAGGTGCTCAAAGTTATCTGAAATTCTGAATCAAAAGAGAATGTAATTCATGATCAAAGGAATAATCAAAGCTCACAAGTGGAAAATCAGAACCAAAGTTTAAGCTATAAGGCTTGGAAAACTAGAAGCAGGACAACTGTTAATAAAAATGGATCAAGACAATTAAAGGACCTAGAACTGAAGTAGAGAATAGAGTTTAGGATGCAACTGAATGTAAGGGATGGATTTAGAAAAATTGATTTTTAAAACTAAACCATGGGGTCAGGGATTTAGCTCAGTGGTGCCGCCGCCTGCTTCACAAGTCCAAGGTCCCGAGTTCAATCCCTGGTACTGAAAAAAAAAAAAAAACTAAGCCATGAACAAGGGGAGAGTTCTATTTCTCTTCTGCATGATTTCTGGTGTATGAGCAGGTGATACATGCAAAAATTATGGATTAAAGTTTCTTCATGTTTGCTCCCTGGAAGGTTGTGGCATATTTCAGAGCAGGGTGGAAATGATTGATCCTCTGCACCTTATCCTTCCCACCCTGCCAGAATCTAGACCTAGCTTTAGCAGCACCAGAAATATAGTCTTTCATACAATGTCTCAGGTATTAGCTAGGATAGAACCCCTTATGGCACCAAATAGCTCCCTATTAGAGGTCAAGACGGAGCTACAGGTATTCTTGGATTCCAGAAAGCAAATGCTCAGATTGGCTGTTAATAGAAAATAAAATCATGCAGGTCCTCATGGAGGACAGAGTTCACATGCTCCATATGATCATTAATCTTTGGTGGTGGGAAGAAATTAACAGGGTTATACTTGGAGGGGTTTTTTAAATGATGATGCCATAAATTAATAAATGACTATATATTCTGGTTTGCCTGGGGCAGTAGTGGTTTATGCTTATAGTCCTGGTATATATATTAATAATTCTCCATTTTTCCTCATCAGAGCTCTCATTCATCAGAGAATGATGAATGACAGGATCACTCTGAGTGTCTTATTTACTTTTCTCTCATTTGCTGAAACAAAATACCCAACACTCAAAGTTAAGGGGGAAAGGTTTATTTGGCTTACACCTCATAGAGGTTTCAGTCCATAATTGGATGGCTCCAAGGCAGGGTGGCAGTGGAGCAACAGATCATGATGGCAAAAGTAACAATGGTAGGAGGAGGAGCCCTCAACAGTGTCTTTCTGCCCCTTTTATCTTATGCAGATTACTTATGGCAGGTAGCACTCACACCCTTAATCCTAGTGCCCTTGAGCCTAGCATTGCATCATAAATCAATCCCAGAAAAAAGGCTCATCTATGACTGCATGAGGTTTTGGGGGGACATCAAGGCACAAGCCACAAAACTGAGTAAGAAGTATAATGTGGTGGTCTGTCAGTACCAAGCACTGGCTAAGGCACACTCAGCTGGGAGAAGCTAACACGTGGGCATCAGCTGAGCTGACACAGGGATTAAGCAGGTTACACAAGGAATTGTAATTGAATCTCTCAACATTGTATAATAAGGGTGACGCTGAGAGCCTTTCCAGATTGTCCTGGTTCCCTTCACATAGTCCGCGTGTTTTCATATAATTCAGAAAATCCTAATAAACATAGGGCCATCAATACTCATATATCATGTGGAATATCTTGAATGACCCTGAGAGACATTCCTGAGTTGGAAAATTTATCCATAATTAAGATCTTAATTTAGCCATGTTTTGTCTGATCCAACTCCATAATAGGGGAATTCACCTTTTAGGTGTAGGACTGAACCAGAGATCTTCTCATGGAAGTCCCAAAACCCCAGAAGCAAATTGGAAAGAAGGGTTTGTGCTCTTTGTGTGTGTTCATACATGTGGAATTTTAGGTTAATGTGTACTCATTTTAGGAAACCATTAAGCATTCTGGAGCAAAAGTTAATCAAGCTAGGACTAACAACACCCATGGGACACTGAAGGTGAGGTTATGAGACATTCATTCTCCGAGTTGGGGAAGTGCACAGTTGAATTCTATCTTTAGTTAAAATTTTTATATTTGGCTCATTATGGACTTTTTTCATTAATTTTAGTCTTATTTTACTTTTTTAAAATGTATATGTAATTTTCTATTTATCTTTTGCTTATAAATATGAATTCTATTTTAATTTTATAGTGGTCTTGTATCCGAGGTTTTATGTAGACTTTTTGGCATTTTATATAGATTATCATATCATCTGTTAACAGTGGAGGTTTCATTTCTTTCCTTAAAATTCTGGTGGCTTTTGCTTTGTTTTACTGCTCTTTTTCCCTCCTTGGAATTTCAGGATGGTCTAGAATGGAAGTGGTTGGGCAGGAATCTTTCCCATACTCAGGGAAAGCTTTCAAAAATTTCACTGTTAATCATGTTTACAGTAGGATTTCTATTTTTTGTTTGTTTGTTTTATAAAATGCTAAATATCTTAACACACCAAAGATAGTTTCTTAAATCTTAATTTGCTAAACAATATTTTTAATTTTGAATGCCTTAACTTTTATCAAATGATTTCTGAATGTACTCATGTAACTAAATATTTTGTTCCTATTTCTTGTTGGTGTGCTAAATCAAAGTGACTAATCTAATATTAATCTACCATTGTATGTCTGGGGAGTAGGGATACACACTCAGTTGTGAGGTTTTACCCTGTTTAGATGATTCCAATTTTGATTTGCTAATAATTTATTACCTTTTTTGCATCTATGTTCAAGAGAACAGTTTGTCTGCAATTTTATTTTTTGAACTGTCCTTGTCAAGTCTTGCATTATAGTTGTGAGTTGGAAAATGTTTCCTCCCTTTATATTCTTAAGAAAATATATAATTAATCAATTTTTCTTAAATTCACTGATTAAGACAAATTGGATCATGGTAAAGAATATAACATGCATAGGGCCGGGATTTGGCTCAATGGTGCTGCCTCGCCGCCTGCCTCACAAATGCAAGGGCCGGAGTTCAATCCCCGGTACCAAAAAAAAAATTTTTTAAAGAATACATCATGCATCCTCATCCAATTAGAGTCTCGACTAAAAGATTATATTTGTTGTTTCTGAATAACACTAGAACCTTAGGACTTTTTAAAAGCTTTTACCCTACTCTGGAACTGTGAGTCACTACTGACATTAATTTACTTCTTCTCAGAGCTATTAATCTGCCTTTTCTTCCAAGATAAGTGCCTTACTTCTTTGGCTGCTCTTGAGGTTTTTCTTGTGGTCTTTGGTTTTCAACAGTTAGATTGCCATGAGACGAGGTGTGGTTTTCTTTGGCTTTTCTACAGGGGATCTGCAGAATTCCTTGAAAATATAGTTTAATGTCTTTCATCCGTTTGGAAAGTGCACAGCTATATTTTAACATTCAGGGGCTCTAGCTAGATATACACTAGACCTGCTGTTGTTCCACTCACTTCCCCACTTGCTCAGCTGAAATACTTTTTATTGACCTGTCTTCCAGTACTTTAACCTTTTTTTATTCTGTCTAATCTGCTGTTAAATCCACTCTTAATTTCAATTACTCAAATATTCATTTGTGTAATTTCCATTTGACTATGTTTTATTGACTAAAATACCAAAGTTTCTATCTATCCATTTTTTCTTTATTCTTTATTTTCTTGGACATTTCCGTAACAGCTACTTTTAGAGGTTTGTTTCCTGTCACTTCCTATTACCAGCAGGTCCACTTCTCTCAAAATTTATATAATCTATATATAATTTTCTCTTAGTTTTATTCAGATTATGCAGCATCTTGGATGTGGTTTGTGTCTAGAATGAAGTTTATCTAAGGCTTAATCTACTTCTAGTTTGTCCCTGTTGTCCTCTAGGGTTTTATCTGATTACTTTGTTTACTGGGTCCCCTTCCCTACCAGATCCTAAACTGTAACTTTTGCCTTCTTGGTACCACAGATTTTAAGAGACTGCTCAGCCTTTCAGATGCTTTCTACTTAAAATTTTAGATATGGACAATTAAGACACAAACAAAAAGTAGTAAGTATCGTAGAAATATTTTAGGTAAACATCAGTAGTGATGGTGTGATTCTAGCTGCAGTGATCAGAGACAACTCAACAAATAAAGTAGCACTCGAACTGGACTTTAAAGGATATCCGTAGACTGGGAAGAGGAAATACCACTTTACCTTAACAGGGAAAGTGCATATTGCTCTAAATTCAGTTCCAATATTGCCCAAATTTTTTGAAGAGCATCTGCAACACTGAGATTTTCCTTTGTGCCTAAAAATAACAATAAATAACAACATTAAATCTGTAAAATTCCAGGAAGATCATCGTGTTTATAGCCTTCATTTGGAGATGAAGAATTTGAAACTCACAAGTAGGATGGGTCCAAATTAATAAACCTGATAAGCAGAAAAATCATGCTTCAAATATACAACTATAAGCCTTCAGTCAAGAGCTCTGCTCACATTATGCTATTCTCTTTCATCTTTAGTTTAAAAGTCATAAAGTGTTCTTTGATGTAATTTAAGATTTTTATCAAATAGTATTTATAAGGAAAATTTCATCTCGGCAATGACATGAAAAACTTTATCTCAGCAAAAAGTAGTCCATCCAATTTTTCTAAAGAACGACAGCTAATAGGATTCCATCAAAACTCATTTTACTGAGTTATTGACAAATGGCTGAAAACTAGCCAATCTGAAAGGAAAAAATGCAATCTATAGTAAGCACTTCAAAATTGACATGTCAGACTGACATTCTTTTTCTAATTATCCTATCTCAATTTATTCATGGTACTTATCAGTATCTAAAGCTGATATCATAATTTATTTATTTATCTAGTATATATTTACTGCAAGTGGAACATAAGATTCATCACAGCAGAAACTCTGACTGTTTCGCTGACTTCTCTGAGGCCAGAATCAAGAATAGTGCTTCACATATAAGATCAATTCAATAAATATGTGTTGAGTGAAAAAAAAATGCAAATACTGTTAAGTGCATTAAGTTGCTGAAGTTTTTCAGTCTTTAAAAAATAAATTAAATCATTGCATGAATATTATTTTACAACACATATGGACAAACAACCACACATATAAGCCATACGTTTAGTCTGATAAATTCATGTATTTTTTTCTAATGGAAAAAAAAATAAAAATCAGACAATTGCAATATTTTTATTTCACAGAATTAGGAAATGTAGTTTTTTAAACCTTTATATATCTTCAGTTTTATGTCTGCTTAGATGGATATTTTGACAATTATTATTAAATGTTTTTATAACATTTCAATATATTTGAATAATTCTATTGAGATAAGTCTTTTTCTAGCAAAATGTCTACTGAAGTTGCAGAATGCAAATGATGGAATTTTTGCACCTACTGTTATATTTTAAGCTAATAAAATATACATTTTTCACAAAAATTTCATTTCATATACATAAATATATTTGACTTAATAAATCTAAGAACACACTTAAAATGTATTGATGCCTTCTAAATGTACATCACCATGCACATAAATGAAGGACTCTTTGTCGTTTGTTCATATCTACTCATTTATTCATTCATTTCTTTGAAATCCAGGATAGGAAGGTAAAAAAAAAATCTGATTTCACTGAAGCTGACTAAGGCTGCATACTGCTAGGCATTGGCAACACACAAAGAAAAAGACCAGCTCCTTGTTTGAAATGAACTCATGACAGATCGGGAAAACAACATTCCTTCATCCATCCATTCATTCATGCTCTTGTTCAGCAAGTATTTATGATGCACTTATTATGTGTGAGGCACCGTGGCTAAATGTTGGGGACAAAAGAATGAGATTTGGGGGTTTTCTTTTTCTTCCTTCCTTCCTTCTTTCTTATATGGTATTGGGGGTTGATCCCAGGACCTTTGCACTGAGCTTCATCCCCAGCACTTTAAAAAATTTTTTCTTTTTATTTCAGACAGTATCTTACTAAGTTACTAAACTGCCCCAACTGGATCCTCCTGCCTCAGCCTCCCAAAGTGCTGAAATTATAGGCATGTGCCACCAATCCCCAGCCAAGAGAATGAATATTGACATAATTCCTGACCTCGAAGAGTTTCAGTACTTATAGAATAAAAATGTATTGCTGATCCATAAAGTGGGGTGACTCTAAAATACTTTTCTTTTTTTTTTTTGTCTAAAATACTTTTCAATTACACATATAAACAACTATACATTCTTATATACATAAATTATTTTATAAATGTTTGAAAAGTTATACCTGGCATTCTGGCTCTCATAAGTAGTCTAACATATGCCCCTCTCCACACCGATTGAATTTTACTTGCTGCTGCTACTTTCTCTGAAGGATACTCTTCCTCCTTTGTTGGCGTAGAATATTTAATATCTACCCATTCGGCTGGAAAGAGAAAAATAAACTCTAGACTGAGTTTATATTGAATACTTTCCCCAAGTTTCTGTGATTGCTGGCAAAGCCCTTCAATATATCAAATGCCACAATGGCAGATTTATCATTATATTTCACTTGGTGAGAGGACTGACGATTGAACCCAAGGCCTTCACTGAGCTACGTTCCCAGCCCTTTTTAAAGTTTTGAGACAGGATCTCACTATGTAGCTAAGTTGCCCAGGCTGGGCTTGAACTTTCGATCCTCCTACCTCAGCTTCTCAGGGTACTGGGATTACAGGCATGTCCTTAAAGCAACCTTTCTGGAGAAGAGAAATAGATGAACAGTGACACCTCAGTGCTCTACTATGGATTCCTCTGTGAAACTAGCCCACAACTTTCCTGAGAATTGAAAGGAATCATTACCATAGTGGGAATGGGGACAGAACTTAGGAAAGTGGGGAAAACAGGGCCAGTTGGGCTAGGATTTTCCCAGACTTCCTCAAATCACAAATCAGTGACTTTCATACTTTTTTAAGGTTAGAAACAAGACAAGGAAGTTCTGGGTTCCTCTGGAAGTGTGCTCAGCAGGGATGAGAAGGGATACTCAGCAGCTCCCTGGACTCCATGAGCTTCCCAAACCATAACTTGAGTTCTGTGACCATCCATGCAGACCTACTGTCTAGCTATACCACACAAACTTTTATGCTCACCCATCTGAAATTATTTATCCTACATAAAGCTAGAAATTCCTTGGTTAAATATTTAAAATTCATTAATACCTAAAGAAGCATCCTCTAAGAAGGAATCAAGGGACTCGACCTCCAAAACCAGAGCCCGGAATGCAAATTTGAAGCTTGAAGGAAGCTTTGGTAGTTGAGCTTTTTTCATTAAACGCCATAAAGAAACATGGAAAACCTGAAAAATACAAAATGCACTTACTTTTTTAAACTAAAAAAAATACCATAACCTGGCCAGAGAGTTTTGAAGAAAGTTTAGGTACCCTAAAAATAAAATATAAAATTTTTTCCCAAAAATATTACAAAATCGAGCAAAAGACTCTTTGAAATCTCACTCACCATGTAAGAGTTCAAAAATATTATTTTACTAATTTTAATTTAATAAAATTTAATTACTACAATGATGTTCATAATATTCACTCAATCAAAATACAGCATTTGGGCCAGGGATTTAGCTCAGTGGTTCCACCGCCTGCCTCACAAGCACAAAGACCCAAGTTCAATCCCTGGTACCAAAAAAAAAGAAAGAAAGAAAAAAATACAGTGTTAAACTGGTTGAGGAGATATAAAGTAAGATAAAATATATGATCCTTGTGCTTAAGCAAGTTAAATATCATATTTCATTGACTGGAAGATACCATCCATTGCAAGACATAATATTATTTAATATGCTACAAAGAAAAAATTATGTTGCTTAAAGTTTTTATCACTTTTTTATCACATAGGAGTACTTACGTTGAAAAAGCTTTTTTAGGTTTATTTAGACAAAAGTTTTTCATCATATGTCAGATAGCTATGTAATTACCAAAATATAAAACAGAGATGTTCTGTTACCAAAATAACTTCATTTTGTGTTAAGTATGCACAAAGACCTGATTTACATATTAAATCAAGGCTAGCCAGGTAGGCCCGAGCACTGAGTAATCACTGTAGCTGGGATGGTGGCTATGCATAGCCCCTCAGTGCCAGGTCCAGTGAATAAGGTGAATGGGACGCACAGTAATGTTTTTACAAGGCTGCCTCTCCATTGGATGACACTTGAAAGCAGTAGTCACCACATTCTTATCACTGCTTATAAAGTTGCTCACAAAAGAACACTCCCAGAACTGCTTCAGAAAGTGGCAAGAATGATCAAATAAATATGTAAGAAACAAGGGACAGTATTTTGTGGGGGATCAATGTTAATGTATCTTTTACTGAAATGTTTTTATTTAAACACATATCATATATTTTGATCACCTCGTGAATCACCCAGAAGTAAGGACTTAACTACTAAGGATAGTCTGGGTCTCAGTGGCCCTAACATATGCCATAGACAGAAATGATAAAATTCCTGGTAGACTGGAATGGCACATGGGAGGGTAAGTAAGAATTCAGCCTGTAGATGAAATCCTGCGGTACATTTCCACTGAACCAAAGACTAATAGTGGTGCTGTGTCTGCATAACTGAAACATGTAGGTCTGAGACTCAAAATGTGGAAGTATTTCCTCTCTCCCCATTATTCACAGTGACCCATTTGCAGAATCCATGTGCTTTTCCCCTGGAACTAGAAGTTTGCTGGATTGGAGGGCTTAGTTCCTGGAAGTGTAATCCCAGTGTGATGCTTCTACTGGGGGTTTTGGTATGATTTACAATAAACCTAAGCTATAACATACATCTGGTTGCTTTGGGTTCCTCATCCTGCAGGATAGGTAGGGAAGAAAGGAATTAATATAACAGGGGAAGTAGGAAATTTACACTGCTTGTACCTGTAGACAGTCTGTAAGTGGCATTATTTTAAACAGAGTTTCCCGCTATGACCTTTGAATCTAGAACCCACTTACCCTGAAGTGCTGGGCAGTGAGCTCCTTGTTGTGCAGAGGAATGGGGTAGTGAGCTGCTTGCAGATCCTTCAGAGCTGCAGGAAGCTTAGCCTTATCTTTAAAATTAGCAATCACATTTCCAACAGCTTTCAAAATTATTAGAGACTGCTCTGTAAATCGGTAGCTCTCCTGTGAAGATAAAGCATGTATAGTAGTAGTGTTCCTCATGTTTAAGTGTAATTATTAAAAAAACTCAGTTTCTGGGGGAGAAAAATCCCTTCTGATTGGTTTATTCACCAGTTACCTGTGGAGAACATATTTGACCAAGGTGTTTTACAGATGCTATGGTCCTGGGGACACAAAACAAGGAATGTAGCTCCTACCTGTGTGGAAATAGAGAGGAAGAACACCCACCTTACACTGGGAGTCAGGGAAAATTTCTCCATAGTATTAATATCCAGACTGAGTTCTGGAGAATGTCTAGGAATTATTCCAACAAAAATTCAGACACATTTCCTGTGTGGGGTTTGAGGAGTGAAGAGCAGAGAAATTTGGAAAGAGAGAGAGCCAGAAAGATCAGACAGGCAAGAGGCGGAGCTAGGTGGGACTGTGGGCTCCCATCTGTTATTGACTCTGAGGAGACAGTCAGGGCCAGAAGGAGACAAGGATTTAGGAAATAATTCTACTTTCTAAAATCTGAGAAAACCCTGCAATGCTTGAAGACTATCTAGGCTGGGGTGTGATGGGTAGTGATGGAGATGCCTGAAGCGAAGGGGCTTGGAGGCAGCATGGACAGAGGAAGTTGTTGGGAAAACTCTGAGTCTCACTTCACTTCTTCCTGGGGACATCACAGGGCAATCATTACTCTGTGGTTACCTGTAGCAATACTGAGGGGTGGCCCAGAAAGTGTCACTGAACAACACAGATGTCTAGGAAGGGTGAGAAACTGATGCAAACAGACACAGCTGACTTGCCAATCCCAAGGCCTCAGGAAAACTTCATGAGAATGGTGTCACTCCATAAGGTGAAACCAGGGCCAAAGAGGTGTCCTGGGCAAGCAGCAGCACTGAGGATGATCAGTTATGGCTCTATGGATCTTGAGTCTATCTGTTTTTGGGTAGATTCTTTATTAGCAATGGGGACCAGGCTTGAATACCAAGAATCTTTACAAGACAAGGGAGTGACATCTCCAGGGAAGTAGGAGCTCATAGACCAAAATAAGTAATTGCCTGGGGAGATAATTCACCATAGAAAGACAACAAGCTGGGTAATCCACATTGTTTAAAGCAGAATGGTTTTTTAGAAGATAAAAATTAGAAATAAGAAGGGTAAACATAGTCAAGGAAATACAGACATCTGCTTATAAGACAGGTGATCTTCCTTCTGTATCTGTTCAGCAGGGAAAAAAGCATGGTGAGGAATGGCACAGCCAGTAGAGGAAAGCCCTGGGGACTCCTCTGTAGCCACTGCTGCCACAGGCAAAAGGCCAAGTGAGGCGTGTCTGAGCCAGGAGGACACAGCATAAGGAAGCTGGTCTTGAGCCATCTTGTTGCCACAAGATTTGTTGGTTAACTTAAGAGAATACCACAGTACAAAGCTGCATCACCTGGAGTTGTTTATATTGTGTTTTTTCTTTGGTTTTGGTTTGGTTTGGGTTTTGAATTTTCATGAGGAGTTGTTAGGGCTGAGGAAATGTTAAGTATTAAGCAGCAGGGAAGGCCATGCATGAGTCTTCACCCAAATGCACCTTGATAGACAGGGAACACCCAAAACCTAGAAAAAACTTCAGAGAGGTGATGGATCCATTTGCCCTGTCACAGCAGAAAAGCAAAAGAAACCAAGAGAGAAGATGAAGTGATAGAACCTTCCACAGGCCACCGTTTGCCCTCTTGAGCCTGGACACACACTCCAATTTCCTTCAGCCAACAAAGCAATGAAAGGAGAGAAAGAGATCAAAAGTTTAAACTGCACTGAAAAGCACTATCCTGATCCTTTATTCACCAAAGGGGTAATTGTACCACAGGGTCCACCTGAGATGTTAAGAGATGCAAAGGGGACTCAACAGAATAGAATGAAGGTAGTTTGGGGAGGAAAAAACTATTTTGTCACTACAGAATTTAAGCTATCATTCTACAGATGCACTTGGGCATTTCTGGAAGAATATACTATAAAAGATTAAAAAGGGGGCAAGTTAAATAAAAAACAGAATAGGATTTAGAGTAAAAATCTTTGAAAATAAAACACACACAACAAAAAAGCAGTTGCTAAAACATTTACCTGCTCAAAGTGGGGCAGCGCAACGTCTTCATCCCCCATGACAAAACTCACCATGCTGCAGACGTGTAGGGAATGTCCCACGGGGGAGTATGCAGTGAAGAGCAGCATGTGTCTCCTGTAGGGAATGGACACCATGTGAGGACCTAGTTTGTTTTTTGTTTGTTTGGTTGGTTTTTGTTTGTTCTTTCAGACACTCTCGCTATGCAGTTCTGTCTGGCCTTGAACTCACTGTGTAGCTGAGGCTGACCTCAAACTTGCAGAGCTCCTCCTCAGCCTTTTGACTGTTGCACCACCGCATCTGGCTTTATTTTGTTTTGTTTTGTTTATTTAACACAGATGAGATAAATATCTCTGAACCTTCACTTTAAAAAAATATACTCAGAGATCATGAAATCTGTATTAATTATGTCATCAGACTAAATGACAAAGTTGTACATGCTAGAGTTACCTCCCACCACTTGTAATAATATTGTGAACTACTGGTCTTGATTTTTCCCAAAAACAATAAATCAAATGAGGATAAGGCCTTGTACTTTCCTAGTCTTTTTCTAACAAATATATTATTTCATATATACTCATTGTGTCTCTCTTAAAAGATTACAGTATCCTCGGGAAGAGGGACATTCACATTTCCCCAGCTACAGAGCATTTAGAGCACCTTCAAAGTATGGGTGTTGATGGGTTAGAGCCTGTTGGAGAAAACGTGGCCATGAGAAGCTCCTCTGTCAATTCCCTGTCCTAGGTTGCACCAGTGGTTGAGTGATCACAGTAACTCCATTTCTGGGAGAATCTCTCCAGTCCAGAGACATTAGAGAAGATGAGAGTAATGGTAAAGTTTGTAGTCGTCATTTTTCTAGAAATATTGGGGGCTCACCTTACATTATTTTACCATTTGACTTTGTTTCGTTCTTAGGCCTTGCCTTTTGCACAAGAGCCATAGCTTTGCATTGATGACAAATAATAAGCATGACTGATCTTAAGAGAAAAATCCAGTGAAAACATTTACGTCATCTGAAATATGAGGTAGTACTCCAGCTTTTATTCACTCAAATCCAGAAAATGTTTCCATTAAACATATTTTTTAAAATGGAAAGTTTATTTTGTCAGTTTTACTTTAATTAAAAATATCTGTCAAAAACAAACCACAGCTAAAAATCTAGATTTGTAGGGAAAAATGTGGTGTTTCTCAAACCGTGTTTAAATGGAATCCAGGTACTTTCTATGGAATGTAAAAACATTTATAAGGAAATATAAGGAATTCATTGATTAATTTTAGAAACTGCTAGGTTAAAAAAATTTAAGCAATATTCTTCACCAAATATTTTCTCAGAATAATTGATAAAAATGGATCTTCTGAAAAGGTATCCAATGTATGGTATTTCTCAATTTATTCATTCATGGAACTATTTCTTTCAAGAATCTGACGTGTGCCGTGTGAAATCACTTCAGAAAACAGTTTCCTAGAGTCTATGTTGTTTACTTCTTTATTAGTCAGTCAACAGTTTGAAGGGCTTGAAAAAAAAATTTTAGTAAAGCAAAAATGAAGTCAATCCATACCCTGCAGGCAGCTGCAGCATGGTGGCCTTGGTAGCATATGTATGAATCCTCAGAACAGAACTGAGTGGCTTCAGAGACTTCCAAGTAATTGCTTCACCTGTTAGGAGTCCAGGCTCCACATGAGGGCTGTCTTTTGTTAAAGCTTTAGAAAAAGTGAAAATATATTGAAATTTCATTGTGAAACTACACTGGTTTTCATTTGTAGTGGCTCTTATCCAGGAACAACAAAAATAATAGTAATAATAAATCAGGTATTAGACATATCTAAAAAGTTCATAAAAATAGGAACTACTTTAAGTAAATAATTATAGGAAATAATACTCAGTTGGAACTCTGTTCTATCTGCCTTCTCATAATCATACCCTCAGGTGAAGAATGAGAAAATTGCGAAAAGGAGGACAGAAAGGTATATTTCATGACAGTGTACCATTGCTTTTATTATCTCTATGACAGTAATTCCAGTATATTCCTAGATGTAATTTTAATGGAAAGAAATACATAACATCTGAGATTTATCCCAGAGATTTATCCAAGATGGTGTCAAAGAAAAAATATTCTATTGTTTATCTAAATTTTTACCTATGATTTTCAGCCTTTGAAGTAACAAAAACTTTATACTAACACCAAGTTTTTCTGTTAATATGAATAAATAATATGGTCTCTTTTTTTGTGAATGACTAAGGGTAAAATGCTTTTTTCCTTATTTCTCACAAACTCTCAAGCTAAAGATACAAGGCCACAACATGGCCTGAAACACCTTCATGCATATAGAATTTAAATTCTCTAGGATGTGGTGACTTCAGAGCCACTGGTTAGACAAATGTAGGAAACTTGGATCACTAAATCTGAGAAAGTTTATTAAGCTACACCACAGACACAATTCAAAGAATTGGGGATATGTTGGTGTTCTTGCCCTCAACATTAGCAAAGCATTCAATGTTAAACATTCTGTATTTATTGAACACCTACAGTACCAGGTTCTATTAACTTGAGTTATATTCTTCAACAAAGTCAGCCAAAGAAATAAAGAATATGTCCTCTCAATCTCTCTTTCCTTCTTCTCTTTCTCTCTCTTTCTCTCTTCCTCTCTCTCCTCTCTCTCTCCCTCTCCCCCCCTCTCTCTTTCTCTCTCCCCCTCCCCTCTCTCCCTCCCTTACACAGGAGCAGGGAGAGTGCACCATTAGAGCAGGAAGGGAGTCTTGTGAGAGCTTCAGCAAATTCATTGTGGAAAGATAAGATGGGTCACTTTTCATTTTCTGTCTCTTCATGGAAACCACTTATATGGCCATCAACTAAAAATGAGTCAAGACAAGCATGGATGTTGAAGGTCTGAAGATAGAATGAGAAGATGTAAAGGTTTGAAATGGCCACCCATGAGAGTGAGAGTGGGAGAATGAATGAGCTCCAGAAATGTTAGCAGCACTACAGGGTCTTCTTGAGATGGTTGCTCCTCAGTGTAAAGTGGGGTTAATCAGTAAGAGTGTTTCAGTTCTCTATCGTTTTTGTCATTGTTTTTCCCTCTAATCATATTCTGCTGTTCTGTTGCAACCACCTACCAGTCACAGAGTTGAGTTTGAACAATATTGGCATTCCTACTGGGAAAGTAAAAAGAGAGAGGGTAAGGGCAAGCATGGTTGGAGTATTGTGCAAGGATATAATTACCATAATGGATCACAGAACTTACGTTGGGGGTGGAATATGAAAGGACAGGAGGAGAATGATGGACAGAGAAATAGTGGCATGTAGATGGATGAAGATCCTTGAAGAGCAAGAACTATAGGGATGGGCATTCTAGAGAAAGTAAACTGAAAAATCAGGTAGTGGTAGTTGGAGACTAAGGTGCTTGAAATGGAGATGACTGAGATGATTCACTAACAGTAAAGATAAATTCTGCAATGTAACCTGTAACCATGAATGTAGGAGGATGTATTAGCCCATTTCCTGATGCTGGGTAGAGTTCATTTAGTTCACAGCCTGGAGATCCAAGAGCATGGCTGTGGATTCCAGGCAAGGACCTGCATCTGGCTGCACAGTATCATGATACAGAAGCAGAATGGGCATGGCCTATGTGCAGAAGGGGCATCTTGGGATGGCCTCACTTTGGAACAATGCACTCTCGTGAAAACGAATTCCCTCTGTGAGGCCAGCATTAATCCTTGCTGAAGATGGTGTCTCTGATGACTTAATTATGTCCATACATCTTCAAGATTCCTTCCTCTACCTCAACGTTACACACTGGGGACCAGGCATCTAGCACATATGCCTTTAGGGGACAGACCACATCCAAATCATAGCAGGAGCCAAAGTGGGATAGAAGAGAGCATACTGGAATTGTCGTTCAGTTGATTTTGAAAGAATCAAAAATGATGACAGGGCCAGGGATTTAGCTCAGTGGTTCTGCCACCTGCCTTGCAAGTGCAAGGTCCCGAGTTTGATCCCCAGTACAAAAAAAAAAAAAAAAAAAAATGATGACAACTGTAGGTGAAAAGAAAAATAGGATTTGGCCTAGCAAGGAAGTGAACAGATGTCTGTGAGCAAGAAAGGCATCAGGGGTAGGAGTGATCATGGCCCTCAGTATCAGGGAGTGAGAGCAATGGCGGAGGTGGTATAGGTGGTCCCGTGTGAGTCTTGAAAAATTCTGGTAAGGAAGGAAGTTTCCTTGTGCATGGTCTCTAAATCTTATTGCCTATTCCACACCCTGCATGTGATGTGAATTTTAGGATGATCCTTTTCTCAGAGCTCTCTTACCTCCAGATTCCCCCCAGCGTACCAATGCAGAAAAACAAACCAGTAGTTCAATAGGTTTTAGATTGTCCACAAATAGATAGTAGGACACACGTTCTTCTGAAAACTGCAAGAAATCAGACCAGTCATCATACTTACTATTAGTCCATTGAAGGTATTATTTTCTACTCCTAATAAGGATACAGTACAATACCTGACACCCGTAAGAAACTTACTGAGTTCTAGGCATCACAGTATTAAACTTTATAGGTTTAATAATATGAAGAAAATCCTATTGGGTGAGTGCTGGCAATAGCCCACTGAAGCGGGATCTGTAGGATCTCTGAGACTGGCCCTCAGCTGTCGGAAAGCCAAAGCTTTGCTCTATGAACTAAGAAAAGGGGTGTTCTTGTTCCAAATGTGCAAAGGTGGCAAGGAGGCTGGGTGGAAGACAAAGCAGTGCTCAGCGGACGGAAGGCTGCGAGGCTTCGAGGCCACAGCGACTTCCACAGAGAACGGGCCTGTTTAATGGGGACATATTTAGGTGTTTTACAGGCTGGTATAGGGTTTTTTTTAAACCTTCTTTTCCTGCTTTTCACAAAGATCTTCAGAAATATACCCGCTGCTTACTGATATGCCAGACTGGATTTTTGTTTTGGAGATGCAATAAAGTGCTGAGTAAAACCAGAAATTGTCTTTAAAGACAGTCACATAAGGGTTGCATGAGTACGATTTCAATTTATCCTGTGTAAGCATTATTAATATCCTTAATTCTGGGTGAAGGAGTTGATTTGCCAAAAGCCAGGGTTTGTAAGTAGCAAAGCTGAGATTCAAAAGTAGATTTATCTATCTGTGTGACTTTGAGGTTGCCACTCTTGACTATTGTCTTATTCTGTTTCACCATCATTTTGCCTGATTGCTTATGGCAAATGTATTCCATGAAATTGTCATTGTAGTATAAAAACTTTTCTTATTACTTTACCATAATTTTTTTTTTTGGTAGCCAGGATCAAACTCAGGACCTTTGCACTTTCGAGGCAGGCAGCGGAACCACTGAGCTAAATCCCCGGCCTTTACCGTAACATTTAAATCACCAGTTAATATGGGAAAGACAAATCTCTAGTAATAGTTTGAAAAAGAAACCTTGTTATTCAATCAAGTATAACAAGATTGCTAAAAATGCTTGATACAATGTCCAGATGTTTATATCACTGCCTCCTCCAAAATTTTCCATTAGCTATCATGTGACATTTCAATTTACTTGTCTCTTTTCAATTGCAACATACTGGAATTACAGGCAGTTGTTTCAAAAATTTATTTACTTTCTGAAAATATGGATTTGCCACCCCAACACGTATGTGTGAAGAGTTTCTGCACTGAGCTCAATTTGCTGTCACTTTTGAGTCTGAGAATTGAGGCGGGGGAGTCCTCAAGGCCACACAGAGGGACTCTTCCCTGATTCCAGCACATCCCAGCCTCACACCAAATGTCAACCAATGGAGGATCTATGGAACGGGCCGAGGTCAGGCCTCAGGCTCCATGCTCAGCTAGCAGCATCTGCCACAACCAACTCTTCCTTTCAGGCCACACTAAATGCCATTAAGTTTGAGTTCCAATGCTCTCCAAGAAAGAGTCACTATTGTCTCACACCATTAATGTTTTCAAAATTTCAGAGGAATGAAGGATTCATACAATGGGGTCATCATTTTATTTTGCCAAGCTAAGAACTTAAGAGGAAGAAAAAAAAAATCTATATTTACCATTACGTATAAAAATCAGATCAGAATAAAGAACAGTTTAAATTTTTACTAGTGCCCCAGAGCCACACCCTTGCTTCATCTAAAGGTGTGCCTAGTGGCTAAGGCCCAGGATGCCAACCAGATAAACCCAATGTCTCACTGTGTTGGTGCCACTTGCTGGTTAGGTGATCTTGGGTGCTTTATTCAAACTTGATCTGCCTCATTTTCCTGACCTATAAAATGACGGCAATGCCCCTTCCATAGAGTTTGCTCTGAGGAGTTCATGCAATCAAGAACTTAATTCAGGACCTACAGCATCTATGAATAACTATCATTTTATTATTGAAAACTGTTTCAATATAGAAATATGTCTAAGTAAATTGTAAACTGCACATTATTCTTTTACCATAATGTGAATTCGGTGTTTCCAGTAAATACCCTGGTTCACAAGGTCAAGGACCTGTCCTTCACAAGGTCAAGGCAGCCCTCTGGATGCTTTTAGCAGCAGACTCTAGGACACAGTAGCCTACCCCCCAGCCCGGCCAGTTACTACTGCAGACCTAATTCTTGCTTTCGGAGCAGGCAGCCACCTCTTGAGGATGCTCGCAAGGTTTTTTCCCACCTACATTTTCATCAAGCATGAGTGGAATAGGAAAAATACTTTCAATGACTCCTTATTTCCCCCACATCTACATACTGCCAACAGGGTGTGGGCTTATTTTCTGGGGCCTGTATGGCCTTGTCCTAAAACAAGGAAATGTGCAAGTCTCAGTAGGTTGCCAAGATATATTCTATACTTTCCCCTAAATTCTACTCAAAGTGAGATCTGTTAATTAATCTATTCAACAAAATTTTATTGCATTTTTACTTTATTTACATCATACTAGGAAAGTCCTTGCAATAGCAAACTAAAGCACACAGTCCTCTGCGAGTACCAACATCAAGTAGGGGGCCAAGGAAGAGCAGAGAACCAGCCAGGCAGTTGGCAGAGTGAGGGGAGAGCGCCTGGGGAAAGGGAGAGTGGGTCACCAAAACCAGATGCTATGACCAGGGAGGGAGACTTAGCAGAGTTGAGGACATTTGTGCTGCTCTGAAGGATTTGTAGATGTTAGCTGGATGAAGATAGCAAGAATGAAAGAACACTCTCTAGCCAGAGGGAAGAATATGAGGAAAAATATCCCAAGGAACTAGACATAGTGGTAAAAATATGTTTCTGTTTGGGCAACTGCCCTCTTCAGTAAATACTAATTGAAATCAAACACAGTAAATTTATTTGTGCATTTCCTTCATTTATTCACAAATCAAAATTTTCTTTCTGTAAACTGTATAATGAAGCAGCTCAGAATTTAACCACTACAACATAGCCAGAGGGATCACATTTGGGGATATGAGCTAGTGGAGTCTTGCTTTTGTTTTGATAAGGGATCAATAAGAGATTCTGAAAGTTGATGTTTTATGTATAATTATGTTTCAAAGTTAGAAATCCTAGAGAAATTTGACAATGTTTTCACTATTATGATTATGCTAAAAAATAAGAGATCATAATATATTTACCTTAAATTCTGATTTTTGAAAGGTAAGGCAGTAAGAATCTGGCTTGTGGAAAACGATTATGTGCCTGAAAAAATATTTATAACAGGTTATTGTCATATGCAAAAAACTAGTCATACATGTTAAGTTTCTTAGAATCAAATAATTATACCCAGAAAGTTGAAAATAATAATAATAACTATGCTGTTGGTTGTCCTATGGCACAAAACTGATCTCAGTGAAAAAGATATCTCTATCTTAATTAGCAAACAAACCTTTGAAGAGAAACTGAAATTGGCCTGGGATGTGTTTGGCTATTAATAGGCTCAGCTGATAATAAATGCATCCATTTTTCCCTTGGAGAACTTTTAGTTGATATTACCAACACCCACCTAATACTGGCTCAGCTCTTTAAAGTGACAGCTAAGGATAAGTAGATTTTATAACCTCTATACTAAATATACAAAAAAAAAATCTTAATGTGAATTTGCATAATGCAGTTCAGGATTTAATGACCACAATATAGTCAGATGAATCACATTTGAATACTTACTGAAAGCATACATAGAAGTCTTCAAAATCTAACCATGTTTCTTTGGAAACACCATTATGTACTGCTGTAAATTCTTCCTGTGATTTGTCTAACGTTTCTGTTGTTTGACTGACCAAAGCCTTATCCAAAGCAAGACCATCAGCTTGATGAGCATCACTCAGTCGAGGGCCTGCTTGCTCTTCTGTTCATGTAGAAGACAGATATATCAAACACATCTTATGTGGTTAAGTAGAAACTAAATGGAAAACTAAAGAAGAGTCCAAATATCAAAGTCTATTTTGGGGAAAACATGTACTAGGATAATCATTTACATACAGGCCTCAATGTTGTGGAGATATATTTATACATTTAATATACTTAAGAGAGTTCAATAATAATTTTTATGCATATTCAAGTGTTCAGAAATTTTGACATCACTTTGATAAATTTGTGTACACATTCTTTAGCAATTCTGAAGTCACATTAGATTTACTAGTTGGCTTAAAACCTGCTGTAGATAGACAGAGAATATAAGAAAGGATGCTTCAGAGAACAGAAGGAAAAATAAAAACTTGACAGATCTATTGTCAAAAATGTGTTCAGAAAGTCATTTAATTACTCCCTCCCCATAGCTGGTGACTCTGCAGCCTTATTTTATTTTTATCAAGTATTATCATAAAACTCTTGCAGACTTCCTGAATCAAAAGTGTATACATATGGGGGCCGGGGATTTAGCTCAGTGGTTCCGCCGCCTGCCTCACAAGCTCAAGGACTCAAGTTCGAAGCCCTGTAACAACAACAACAACAAAAAAAAGTGTATACATATCCAATGACCCAACACATTTTTGCTTTTGAGTCTTGGCCAAGTCTTTAGCAACTGAAGAATGTGCAATGGCTTCAGTATTTTGATAACAAAGTACATATATTCAAACCTATGAACTTTACTCATGGACTCTTAATCAGATCTTTTATTTTCACTTTTTGTTTGATCTTTACAAGTGAAATTATCTCATCTTTCCAGAACATCTTAGGTTCAACAAATCAGAAAAGATGTTGAATAGAGGCTGCTGAGAGATGGGAAAAAAGAGGAGGAAAGCTGTCAAGAAGCAGAGTCCCCTGTATGCCATGATATCCACTGGGGAGGATAAAAGGCCATGGAAAGAATATTAATTTACCTTTACCAGGTACAGGTTGTGGTACAATATTAGCCTGTGAAATGAAAGGAGCTCATCAAGAAGCCATTTTTAATGCAGCAAAACATCACAGCAATCTAAAGCACCAAAGATTTAAAGAGTTATTACACTTTTTTAAACTGGAAAAAAAAGGAAATTGGTTTCAAGACTATTTCATTAAAATATACAGTATAACAAAGAATTCAACTTTAACCTTAAAATTCAAAAGATGTTACTGTAATTAAATAATTGGCTGGTGGTATAAGTTTGTGATATTAAAACATATTTATTAACTGATTTAAACTTATAAAAAAAGTTGAAAAATAATTTCTCTAAGTAGATATATTACTTGTCATAAGGTACTTCTCATTAATACAGTGAAATCAAGACTATTATTGGCAATTAATGTACAGAACCCTGGCTGGTTTCAATTACAAAATATTAACAGAGAAATCATGATGAATTCATGTATATAACTCTTCTCTTGAGAACACAATTAAAATAAGTGTAAGAGATAAAGTGATAAAACTCATAGACTATGGCTGATGTCAGTAATGTTCTGGATAAAGAAAAGTAGATGGAGAAGATAGCAGAACAGAGATAACAGAACACTAAGTGCTAGTGTGAAGCAAGCCTATAACTGCCTCGGGACCCCAGACACAGTCAGCAAGTATTTGAGAAGGAGAGAATGGATTCAAAGCATGGAAAAGGGTTGAATGTCTATATAAGGAACTTGATTTATTCTCTCAAACCCCTTCTTGTTTATCATCTGGTTTTCTTCTGCCTAAATAAAACACTGGAAACTGTTTTCCAGTCCATTTCAATCATGGCACAGTTGCTTGCAATAACAAGAAACAAGAAGTGATGAATATAGCCATTAACAGTGTGATAGGTTTTTTTAAATTGTAAATTGCTATTCAATAAATACCACTGACCAGTGAAATGGATGAACTATGACATGCAACAAGAAATGAATCTGACAAAATGTTACATAAGTGAGAGAAATTACAAAAAATTCATATAAAAGTCCATTAAAGTTACCTAACAAACTAAGCTATAAACCATTTATAATTATATTCATAATTGGCAAAATTAGAAAATATAGAGTTTAATTAACACCAATATCTGAATAGCAGATAGGAAATATGGCCCAGAGGAGAAAAACAGGAGACTTCTATAGCAGATGAATATTCCATTTTCTAACCTGTCATATATACATGTGCTATTTACTTTAACAAAATTTGGTATACTCTTCAGAGGCATGTTATAAATTCTTTTGTATGTATGTTTCAAAACTAAAGAAAAAGCTTCTATAAATAAGGGTTGAGACAATACCTGAGATGGAGCTCCTGTCATATGATCCAATTCAGACTGACTGAAGTCTTCAGTTTCATCGGTTTCTGCGATGGACAATAAACCTGATTCTACAGGCAACCCTTTCTTAATAACAGATTGTACATTATGCCTAGTGGAGGGAAAGCCACAACACTTCTATTATTTTCTATTATTTTAATTTCTTACTTAAAGTTACTATAACTGCAGTTTTGTCAAAAAAAAGGATCTGATTTTGTTCACTTTGTTATTCTCATTCTTTTCCAACCAGTAATTTTTTAAAAACCTCATGTTATTATAATAAAGAAATAGTCTATATCAAAAATTGATCAAAAGACGGAAAGTCACTATTTGCAAATGTCATGATCCTCTACATAGAAGACCCAAAAAACTCCACCAAAAGACTCCTAGAATTAATAATCAAATTCAGTAGTGTAGCAGGATGCAAAGTGACACACAAAAATTAAGTGTTCCTATACAACATAATAAACTCATAAAGAAATAAATTAGGAAACAACATCATTCACAATAGAATCAAGAAAAATTAAACACTTAGGAATTAACCTAAGGAATTGAAATACCTCTACAATAAAAACAACAGTACTCTTAAGAAGGAAATCGAAGAGGACATCACAAAATGGAAAGAAATCTCCCACTCCTGAATAGGTAGAAGCAATATACTCAAAATGGCCATACTTCCAAAATTGATATACAGATTTAACACAATCCTAATCAAAATGTCAACAGCATTCCTTACATAACTAGAGAAAACAATCCAAAAATTCATATGAAAAGAGAAGAGACCCAGAATAGTAAAAGCAATCCTAGGTAACAAGAGTAAAGGAGGAGGCATCAAAATTTCAAATTTAAATTTACATTACAAAGCTACAGTGATAAAAATAGCATGGCACTCAGACAAAAATAGTTATGTGGATCAACAGAACAGAAAAGATGATGCAGAAACAATCCCAGGAGCATTCAGCTATTTGATATTTGAAAGGGGGGCCAAAAAATACACCAGGGGAAAGATAGCCGCTTCAATAAATGGTACTGGGAACACTGGCTTCCCACATGCAGAAGACTGAATTTAGACCCATATCTCTCACAATGTACTAAACTAAAATCAAAATAGATCAAAGATCTAAATGTTAAAATAGAAAGACTTAATCACCTGGAAGATAAAGTAGGTGAAATTCTTAAAGACCTAGGCATAGGTAAGGACTCCCTGAATGGAACCCCAATTGCACAAGAAATAACATCAAGAATCAACAAACAAAATCATATCAAATTAAAAAGCTTCTGCATAGCAAAGGAAACAACCAACAGAGTGAAGGGATAACCTAAAGAATAGGAAAAATTTTTGCCAATTATTCCTTAGATAGAGGACTAATACTTAGAATATATATTTTTTAAACTAAAAAAAGACCCTTTAAAATAAAAGAACCAATCAAAATGGGCAGCTGAAATGAAAAGACACTTCTCAGAAGTACAAATGCCCAATAAATATATTTAAAAAGTTGTACATCCATGGCCATTAGATAAATGCAAATTAAAACAATACTGAATTTCCATCTTACTCCAGAAAGAATAGCTATCATCAAGTTCTCCAAAAGCAACAAGTGCTGGCAAAATTGTGGGAGAATGGGAACCATTCTACATTGTTTCTGGGAATGTGAACTAGTACAACCATTACGGAAATCAATATGAAGAGTCACCAAAAATGTAAATCTAGAAGTTCCATTTGATGCAGCTATTCCCCTTGTAGGTGTCTTTCTGAAAGAGCTAAAGACACCAAATTACAGCGATACACTCATACTCATGTTTATAGCAGCACAACTCATAACAGCTGAATCTTGGAAGTGGCCTATCAGTAGACAGAAGGATAAAAAAAATGTGGTAATACCCCCACAAACACATGGAAATTGAATAACACTCTCCTGAACAACCAATGGGTCACAGAGGAAATTAAAGAAGAAATTAGACAGTTTCTACAAGTAAATG